GTAGATTGCACATCGTATATTGTTCCACAAAAATCGCTCAATCTACAGTGCAGATTGTGCACCACGCAGATTGCACCACGTCGATTGCACCGCATCGCCTGCACAACCTATCATGCTAGAGACAGCGTTCGGGGTCCATGTTGGCGATCCTAAATACAAGCTCGGTTCGGTAGAGTAACGATGTATGTCATACATAGGTATAAATGTTTGCGATTGCTCCTCCAGTGTTCCACCTTCCACAGTCCCACGCGGAACCAGCTGGGTAATCCGAGCATCGGGAGGCCCGGCACCATGACCACCAATTCGTTTCACGGGAGATCCGCTGCTTGCCATTTTGCCTGACCCCACGGGAACAACACGAGAAGCCATGCCCACAGGAGTCCCCTCCACAAAGAAACATTCGTAGATAATCACAACGGTGCGATCGAGGACCCGCCCGGAATCCCCGCGGCGGCTGCGCAGCGACAAGTTGTCACACGCTGAGCGAGTGCAACGCCCAAGGCACACAACGCAAGTCAACGTCTCCAGGAGCCCATCGCCGAGCAACCAGCCACATGGCCCCCGCGACGTTTGCTTCTCGGCCAGCGCCCTCGCCGAGTGCGGCAGCCGCTCCCGCCGCCAGCCGACGGCGACACGAAGAGGCTATAGACTGTGGGTGTCGACGGTGGCCGTCACTTCCAGGACGCCACTGCGCACGCTGTCGCCCAGGTTGGCTGCCGTTCGGGCCGCCCTTCGGGCCGGGGAGGAGGAGGGGGAGCAAGGAAGGCGGAGGAGGAGGCTGAGGAGGAAGAGGAGGAGGAGGGGGGAGGAGGAGGAGGAGGAGGAGGAGGAGGGGGAGGATGGGGGAGGAGGGAAGGCGGAGGAGGAGGGGGGGAAGGGGGGAGGAAGGAGGGGTGTACAGTTGGGGAGGCGGGGGATGGCAAGGCGCCGGGTTGCGCACAGACAGCCCCGCCAGCAGTCCCAGCTGGCCTCCACAGGTCCCCGGAGTAGTCTTGGGTGTTCTCGACGCCTCAGCGGTGGGCGCGCAGCGCCCAGAGAACGCGGCGCCAGGGTCTCGAGACCGCGTTTGACTCTCTCGGGGCCTGTCGAGGCCAGCTGGGACTACTCGGGTGCCCTGTCGAGGCCCGCCGGAGCTGCCTGGGGGGGTCTGTCTGTGCGCATCCCGGAGCCTTACCAGCGGGAAGGGGGAGGAGAGAGGGAGAGGAGGAGGATGAGAAGATGGTCAGAGGGAGAGGGGAGGGAGGAGGGGGAGCTGGACGGAGGGCTGGAGGACGAGGACTTTGAGGAAGGCGGAGGAGGGCGGGGGAGGAAGGTCGGGGAGCAGGAAGGAGGAGGAGAAGGAGGAGAAGGAGGACGAGGATTTTGAGGAAGGCGGAGGAGGGGAAGGAGGAGGAGAAGGAAGAGTCAGGAGAGGGAGGAGACAGAAGGAGGAGGCGGAGGAGGTGGAGGAGGAGAGTTCGATGCCGACCGATCTTGCAAGGACGACCAGGGCACGGTTACCCTTGCGCAGTGGGCCTCGGCGATGCGCGGGTGCCTCGTGCCCGACGAGAAGTTCCCGTGGGAGGACCAGCGGGGGACCGGGTGAAAGTTCAGCGAAGCACTTGTTCATTAGGCGGAAGGGGGGCAGCAGGAGGAGGAGGGGGAGGAGGAGGACCAGGCAGCAGGAGATGGATCATCGAGCAGGAGGAGGAGGATGAAGGGAGAAGAACAGAGCGAGCAGGAGGATTGAGAGGAGGAGCAAGCAGAAGGAGGAGGAGGAGGAGGAGGAGGAGGAGGAGGGGGACAAGGAGGATAAGTGGGAAAAGGAGGAGCAGAAGGCGCGCTGGTTGTGGATATGGACCGTCGACCAAGTATTGGATAGTCTTCTTTGTAGGCGTGTTGAGTTCGAGACTCGAAGTATGCGTCCGCTGTTTGTGCGATTGTTGAGGCAACTGCCGCAGCTCTTATACGCGGGCTCCTGCCAAGATTCCAACGCAGTACCGTTTGTGGAATGGGACGAAAGAGAATCCCACCAGCCCTCTGGGCGTCGGTGGTCTAGAGAGTTTCCGGTTCCAACCCCCGTCTTCCCCTTCGGGGAGGGGCTTACTCCTCCCCCTACCCCCTCCCCTGGACCTGGACGGGGGGCTCCGCGGGTCGTTGGGGCGTCCAAGATGGCCCAAGACGGCTCCAAGAGCGAAAAGGCGGGAAAGCAACACACATGATTTCCGCAGGTTTTGGAAGGATTTGGGCCCCACAAGGGAGGCCCAAGAGGCACTCTAGAGGGGCAACGCTATTTGCCCCCCCCCCCCCCCCCCCTTCTTTGATAGATCTCCTCCTCCAACATGGCTCCAAGAGCGCCCCGAAGGCTCCCAAGAGCGCCCAAAGAGCGCCCCAAGAGGGCCCCAAGAGGCCTCAAGAGGCGCCCAAGAGGCCTCCAAAAGGCTCCCAAGAGACCCACAAGAGGCCCCAAGAGGCTTCCCGAGATACGCAAGAGGCCCCCAGGACCGCTAAGAGGCCCCAAACACGACCCAAGAGGCCCCCAAGCTCGCCATTGTCCTCCTCCTACTCCTCCTCCTCCTCCTCTCCTCCTCCTTTGTTCTTCCTCCTCCCTCCTCCCCCTCCCTCCTCCTCCTCCCTCCTCCCCCTCCCTCTCCTCCTCCTGCTCCTCCGCCTCCTCCTCCTCCTCATCCTCCTCCTCCTTCTCCTTCTCCTCCATCTCGTCCTCCACGTCCTCGCCCTCCTCCATCTCCTCCTCATGTTCCTCCTCCTCCTCCTCCTCCCCCTCCTCCTCCTGCTCCTCCTCCCGCTCCTCCTCTTCCTCCTCCTACGCCAACGACGACTCCTCCTCCTACATCTTCCCCCTCTTGGGGTATATGGCGGCTTACCCCGCCCTTTGTTATTCTGCATACTCCCCCGCTTCCCTCATCACCTCCACTCCCCTGGGACTCATTTCTGGACGGGCTGGTGGGGATACGCGAAGCGTTTAGAATTCCATACGATCGCAGACCACGCAGTCGATGCAGCATTGGCTGCGGGTGCCGATTGGGAGCGACACAACGAGGAAACCATGGCCCAGACGTTGTGTATCAAGCCCAACCTTCGGCTCTGCGTTCACGAAACTTTGCGGGGAAGGCGAGATGCCGCAGGTGGTATGGCTATATACGCGTATCCTGTACGGGAACTTCTGTATCGTGCCAACGTACTTTTCGGACTAATGCTTGGCTGACGCGTTGGCGCTTGAGTGGGCGTCCGGATATGTATTAAGGGCATCCGTGTTGGAACGAGTGAGTTTGCGCGCACATCTTTCCCTTGCAACGGGCAGTCCACTACAGCTGTAAGTTTCTTATCTCTGTCTGTGTGCTTGACACACCGTGCCTCTATTGCCAGCGCAGAAAAAGAGGAGCAAACGACAGAGTGAGCAGGGACGACCAGGAGGAGCATGATGAGCAAATCTGTCAAGTGATGAGCAAGGAAGGGGGATGCAGTTGTAGTCAGGGCGAGAGGCGAGGAGGTGGAGGAGTGATGAGGATGATTGTGATGATGATGCGGATGAGTAGGAGCAGGATGAGAGAAGATGATCGGGAGAAGGACGGGAGGAGGGGTCCCAAGACCCCCCTTTGGATCATGGGGTCCTCATAGAGTGGGAGGGCCCAGGGCTCCTCCGAACAGGAGGTCGCCAGTTCCTGTGAGTGGGGTGGGAGAGGGGAGGGAGAGCATTGATGGGTGACGGGAGGAGAGGAGCAGGGAGAGAGGAGGAGTAGGAAGCTGAGGAGAAGTATGGTGGGGAGGATGGGGATGATGCGACGGATGAGAGAGGGTGGTGGGAAGGGGAGGATGAAGGAGGTACATACTCATTTGTATGCTGTCTCTTTTGCGGTAGGCGTGCTCGGGTGAGAAGAGGGGAAGGGGGGACAAGCTGGAGATCCTAGGAGCGACGGGGGGGTACGAAGGCGACTGGAGGAGGGAGGGAGAGAGAGCAGGGACGAGGGAGGAGGGAATCTGGGGGAGGGCATTGCGTTTCGCTTGATCACATGAAATGTCCGTGACGGCACATCTTGCTGGATGCCCCGCGTTCCGCGGTGCCCGCCGCCGGGGGAGCAAGTCCGGGAGAGTGGCCGGAGCTTTGGCGCCGGCGGGCGCAGATCGCGGCATCGATGCCTTCAGCACGCAGAGGGTTGGCAAGGCATCATCTGTTTCATTTGATGGGCCCACTTTCCACCACCATTACCATAGGTAGGAGGAGGAGGAGGAGGAGGAGGAGGAGGAGGACCTCCTGATCCTCCCTTCTCCCCCGTCCTACATATGGTAGTGGTGGTGGGAAGGTTGCCCATCATCACTTGGACATGTGGCCAGCGCAACGAGGATTTCAATCCATGGTCCAACCGGTGCTTGCGCCGGCCATTGCGTGGAATATTCAAAAATAGCAAGAGGATAGCCCGGAGACGATCTGCTGGCCATTTCTTGGCTACTTTTTTGAGCATCTGTTCTGCCATGTGTTAGTATTCCCTCCAAAACCCGCCTGTGTGGGGGACCTGCCCGACCCAAGCCTATGCAAGCGGGGGTGGTGCTGTGAGGGCCTGGCACGGCCCCCCTCCTGCACGCCCGTGGCCTGCGGTGAGGGCCCGGCCTCGCGTGCGCTCTTTGGCCTGCGCGCCGCGGGGCCCGCGAGGCTTGTGTCGGGCACGTCCTTGGTCAGGGAGCATGTTCAAGAACAGTGAAGCAGTAGTCGGGGGGACGATTTTACAGGCGTCCTTATTTTTTGAGCCTGTCCAGAAGTTTTGATGATCGGGGGTGGACGGACCTCCTACCCTGACGCGCCGATTCGCGAGTTGGCCGCTTTCGGTTTGCGAGAGGGCGTCACGGCCGTTGTTTATGCGGGTCCAGCTCCGTCGGTTTCGGTCTTAGGCCGTTTTCATTAAAAGGGAGGTTAACTAAAGGGAGGTTTGTCCACCGCCGATATTGTTTGTCTTACAAGATCTGCCTATAGGAGGACATGCCCGCCCTAACGTTAGGGGGGCATCCCCCTCGGGGGCCCGGTGCCTGATCTGCGGCACAGGGCACAAGCTGTTCACGCATGGGTGGGGTGAGAACACGTGCAGACGGCCCAACCCAGCTGCTGGGGGTGCAAGGGCCTCACCGCATGAACCTGAAGGCGACAATACCGGAGAGCCAGCGTCTGAAAGGGCAGGGGGAGAGGGGGGGCAAGCCAGGTGCGCTCGCGCCCCATACAAGGTCCGACCTCTCCCACCCATCCCTTCCCACTGCGTTTTTGTTTACCCCTGTCCGCCAACGCGTTGCATAGCTGACCTGGAACCCCGAAGAGGACCCCGGGGGATCTGTGCACAGTGGAGGAGGAAGTGGTGGATGAGCAGGATGATGTGCAGTTGGACCATGAGGACTTGCAAGGAGGAGGACAATCACGATGAGCAGCAGCATGAGTTGCAGTGGGAGGGGCGGGAAGAGCAGGAGGTCCAGGGGAAGGTAGATGGGAAAAGAGCAGGGTGACAACGATGAGAAAGCATTCGGATGCAGAAAAGTGACCCGCGCTGGGACGAGGGCGCTATTCTGAACGACGGGAACAACGCGCCGATTCGAAAATTAGGCAAGCGCTGCAGCGGGAGCACAACTTCGAACGACTGACAACTGTGAAATGAGGCCAGCGTTGTCGCGGGAGCGCAATTCTCGCAAACTTCAGCGAGAGAGAGAGAGAGAGATAACGAAAACAAAAGAGATGGGATATCTATATATATGTATATATATACATATACATCTGTACATATATATAGAGAGAGAACAAAAAAACAAACAGAGAGAGTTCCATACACGCACGTACATGCAGAGGTCGACACCAACATCGCACAGTGGCCGCGATCTATGAGCGAAGCAACGTGCTTGGCGAGGATCCGAACCTTGCCCCCATGCGCGTAATAGGAGACTGTTGCAGCTGCTGCCTCAGTCCTCTCCCCGACGACTGCACACCGAAGCGCCAGCGACCCGCGCAGTTTTCCCCCACCGGATGCTGCCTCTGCGGTCTCTGAAGCGTGCTCGGCATCGCTCGGGCGTGTGCCTCTTTTCTCGACTGAGACCATCGAGGAACATGTTTTGTTCATCGTGCGAGCAAAACAAAAAAGCACGCACGAAACCAAAACATGCGCAGGGCATGGGCGGTCGAGCGATGGCGAGCGAGGCGTCGCTTCGAGGCCAGGCGCGACGGGCTACTGTGTCGTCGGCCTTTCCGCGCCCCCCGCGCCGCCCTCCGCCCGCACAGTGGGGGGAGGAGCTGGCCCCGCACCTGGCCAGCTTCCACGACGGTAAGTGCCACTACATGGCCTTCCTGATGCGGTACAGGAACGTGCTCTGCACGCGGCTGGAGAGCCACTGGTGCAGGAGGGCGCTCCTCCTCCCCCCTGGCCGTCCTCGCCCTCCTCTTCCCCCGCACCCTCCGCGCTCGCCTCTGCCTTCCCCTCTTGTCGCGGTCCCTCCCCCTCCTGCTCCTGGTCTTCCTCTCCTCTCCTCTTCCCTCCCCTCCCCTTTCTCTTTGGGAGGTTGATCGACCTCCTACCCTGACACGTCGATTCATGAATTGGCCGTTTTCGGTTCGCGAGAGGGCGTCGCGGCCGTCATTTCTGCGGGCCCAGGTCCGTCGGTTTCGGCCCCAGGCCGTTTCCGCCAAGGGGAGGTTTATTGAAGGGAGGTTTGTCCACCGCCGACTCTCCTCTCCCCTTTCCTCCCTTCTCCTCTCTCTCCCCGCCCCCCCCCCCCCCCTCCCCTCTCCTCCTCTCCTCTCCCTCCTCTCCCCCTCCCCTCTCCCCTCTCCCCTCCCCCTCCTCCCCCTCCTCCTCCCATCTCCCCCTCCCCCCCCCCTCCCCTGGTCTTCCTCTCCTCTCCCCTCCCCTCCCCCCCTCGCTCCTGGAGGCGCTCCGGGGCCTCCGCCTTCCCGCCGCCTCTCCGCCTGCGCCCCCCCCCCCGCCAGGGCGCCCGCCGGGCGGCCCCCCCGCAGGAGAGCCCTCGGCCAGCTGTTCGGCAAGATGGGCATGGAGAACGAGGCCGCGGCCCCCCCTCCGGTGCGACCTGTCCCTGGCCCTCGCCCTCCTCCTCCCCCTCTCCTCCTCCTCCTCCTCCTCCTCCTACTCCTCCTCCTCTCCCCCCCTCCTCCTCCTCCCTCCTCCTCCTCCTTCCTCCTCCTCCTCCTCCTCCTCCTCCTCCTCCTCCTCCTCTCCTCCTCTTCCCTCCTCCTCCTTCTCCTCCTCCTCCTCCTCCTCCTCCTCCTCCTCCTCCCCGCGCTCCCCTCGAGGGTGCCCGCTCCCCTCGAGGGTGCCCGCCCCGTCCCCCCGCCCTGGCCCTCGCAGTCGTTGACGAGAGCGAGGGGGCGGGGGAGGGGGGGGCGGGGGGCAGGGGGCGGGGGGGGGGCAAGAGCGAGGCGATCAGCTTTCACCACCCACCAGGCAACCCCAACCCTACCCGAAGGCCCCAGTGTGCCCTCCAGGTCGGGGAACGTTGAGAAAACAACGCGTGTATGGAACCTGTACCCCCCCCCAACCCGACATTCGGGTCTTCGGGGTGGGTTCGGGTGGTTTGGCAAGTAGTCAGGCTACGTCGGCAGTCGGCGAGGTGCGCAGGCAGATCGGATGATGCTTTCGCCAAAGGCGCCGATTTATTACCCACACACGCACACAGTTTTTGAAGTCGGCGGCCAGGCAGAGAGACAGCTCTGGCGGTTGACGACGCACGCACAAACACACACACACACATACGTATCTTTATACATAGGTGTATATATACATATGTACATACACACACATATCGATATACGCACCTATATAATATCAAGACAAGTTGGCTCAAGGCTCCAGTGGTCCAACGGCATACATACCGTCTGGCCCGGCACGTCGCCAGGGCATACATACGGCCTGGCACGACGAGTCGCCAGGGCATACATACGGTCTGGCCTGACGCGTGCTTGTGATAGCGGGTAAACCGAGACATCTCCGGTTCCCGCTTGCGCAATCACAGCCATGGCGTGCTCCCATGCGGCTTGCCCGCTCTACGGCGCGCTCCCCGCGGTGGCTGCGATGGTGGCTGCTCCCTTGCCGGCGGGGTCCGCCGATGCCCCGCCTGCCGATGGCACGGGCCTGACCCAGGACACGGGGAGCCTCGTGATCGGCGTCTCCGGCACGGGGATCGGCTCTTCCGACATCGAGATCGACGAGGGGGGTGCGTCTTCTGCGCTGCCGGCGACTGGCGTCATCGCCGCTCCCCCAGGTATTTGCGCCGCAGCCGTTTACGGAGCTCCTGGAGCAGGAGGTGTGCGCACTGGGCCAAGATGGGGCTCGCCCCCTTGGAGGGCCCGGAACTGACGCTTGGGACCATCGAGTCCCGGCGGCGATTTGCCCTTCTCCTCGGCTCGGCGATCGACAATGGTGCCTGGCCAGCGGAGGACCGAGTGGAGGGCAAGCGACTGGTCTCCCTCATCGACGGCGGGGCCACGGAGTGTTGCGCCCGCTTTGACGACATTCGGGCCTCGCGCAAGCGCACGAAGCCATGCAAGCTCCCGCTCTGGAAGGAGTTTTTTTGGAGGGGGGGGCTCTGGCAGCGTTCCTCCGCGACGGCGGGGACCCCCGCGAATCCTTCGCGACGCAGTGGTCCTCCCTCACTGATGCGACGGAGTCCTTGGGTGGAGCGGGATCCTGCGTGCTGCCGCTTGGTGAGACGCGCTTGGTGGCGGGGCTGGCGGAGAAAGGTGACCAGACGTTCTGGGAGGTGATCAGGGGGCGGCCACTTGTCATTGGGGCCCCCTCGGACCGATCCGCTTGTGGGAGGCTGCGGGATGCGTTCCTGAAGTTCTGCGGCGACCCCAGCTTGCCGCCTTACCTGAAGATGGTGGTCCCGATGCAGGTTTTCTCTGGGCGCAACTCTTTCGACGCGATTCGGGATCTCTGGCATCATCCTATTCCTGGCGAGCGGTGGGCTTCGATTGTCCGTGCGGTGGTCGTCTACACGCAGCCCTTCGAGATGATCGTTCCTGGGAGGGTCGCCCGGCGACAGGATCTTAAGGGTCTGGTCGTCTTCACGCTCTCGTCGTCTCTCCTCCATCGACTCCCGCGCGTGGTGGAGCCGGAGGCTCCGCTCTTCACGGTCGACGTGCAGCCCACGTTCTATGTCGATTTCTTCGCCGGGTCCACCCCGCAGGTGCTGAACGTGCTCAGGGCAGGCGGCGGCGGGAGCATGACGGTTGGCCAGGTCAGACGTAGCACGGGCTAGGCTACACGGACAAGCAACCTAGGGCCATGGTGGAGGTGCGGTTCCCCGTCGGCACCAGCATGCTTGCCCAGGAGCTGCAGTTCCGCCAGTTGCGCCCCCTCTTCCCGGCAGGGATTGTGTACGGCTCGCAATCTCTGTTCGCGGACCCGTCCACTTTGCTCGTAGAGATCGGCCATGCCGGCGCGGCCTTTCGCGCTTGGCCGCTATGCGCGGGGATATCGTTCCTGTCTTCGGACCGCTAACTGGTCGTCAGCGACGCGGCCGAGGACACCTGGACCAGAGTCATGGATCAGGCCATCAAGGACGACCCCGAGGGGGCGATCTCAAGTGGCGCTTGTCGCGTCACGGAGGCCACCCTTTCGCGGCTCCTCCGGCGACGTCTGCGCAGATCGCCGCAACGCGCCGCTCCCGGAACGCCATCAACGAGCCTGCACCTCTGCGGGCGGTGACGGAGGTCGAGGTTCGGGGACACCTCAAGACGTACGAGAAGGAGGCGATCGAGAAATTGATGACCCATTTGCGCTTGCAGGGTGGCCGCCAGCTCCGGAAGGGTGGCGACGCTGATACTGGGCTGGGCACGTGGACGTGGTTGGCTGGGCAAGACCCGGGCGCTCCCCCAGGGCGTTCACGATTGTTTCTGGCAGGGGAGGACGAGGTGGCGCGCGCGCGGGCTTCCCTGCACAACGAGACGGTCAAGATCGGGAGCGACGCGTTCACCGCGCAGGTTTTCAACGACTTCCTCGACTCCAGGGCGGCGCAGGCGCGCCGGCATTGACTAGCTGCCGAGCCTGGGGCGGTTGCCTGGGCTGTCTCGGGCTCAGGCTGCATGACCCTCGTCGTCGACGTCGTCGTGGACCTCCTTGACGCGCAGGTCTCCACGTGCTCTGCGGCCAGCGTCGGCGCTGGGGAGACTTCGATTATTGTTGGTGCTGCCCATGATGCTGTTCCCCTTCTTTCTGCTCTACCTCCGTTGTTGCTCTCCCTCATCCATGGGCGACTTCGCGGCCGTCGCCCGCGTCGATCATGTCACTATTCTGCCGGTTCTACAGCGTGGTCGGGTCCGCAGGGCCTTGGGCGTTTCTTCCTCGACGTTCGTCTCTGCTGATGGTGGCGCCCCGCGCGCTCCTGTGGCACCACCGGCAGTGGTCGACGCCCGCTACCCCTGCCACCCTTTCAGGGGGGACTTCCAGATTGCTACGTGGAACGCGCAGGCTCTGTCCGCTGCCGACGTTGCGAAGCATGCGCGGAAGTGGTGTTTACTGGGGTCTACTCCGGCAACAGGATGCGACCCCCCTCGCGGAGACGCACGGGACTGCGGAGAGCCTCGCTCTCGCCTCATCCCCTCGTGGGGCGCAGCCGCGGCGGCCGCCGGGAACCTCCCACAGGTGCTGGGTGTGGATCGTCATCTCCGAGAGGTTGCTCGAACACTTTCCGCGTCGACGGGGGGCTCAGCTCCATCCGGGTCGAGCGGAAGTTCTTCGTTTGGACGGCCCCGCGGGATCGGTGGATCTGGCGGCGTCTTCCTTTCCGACGCGAACGGCAGGGCGCATTTTACAGGGCGGCGAGGCGGCCAGTGAGGCTCGGCTGAGCCCCGCGGCTCAGCCGCCCCGCTGAGGCGCCCCTCACGGCGGTCATCGGCGGCGACTTCACTGGGTCGCGGAGGCCCGTGACAGGATTGCGCGAGCCGACGGTTCTTACTCAGGACAGCGCGACCGCCCTGGAGAGCTCCACTGGAGCCCTTGCACGTTCCAGGTTGGACAGGTTCTACGCCAACATTGAGGCCGCCGACTTGCTGGACCGGGAGATCTTCGCCTGGGCGGGGGATTGGAATTTCGACTTATCAAACCACAGGCCCGTCTTCCTCGGCCGTCGTTATCCGACGGCCAAGCCTGCCGGGGCACGGCCGATCGCGCCCCGCGTGGTTAATCGCCCTGAGTGGCCGCGCGGGGTCTCGTTGAGGTATTTTGAGCTCCAGGATGAGATCCAGCCCGGCGACGCCTTCCATGAGCTGGTGTTGCTGAAGCGGGCGATTCGGGAGGTCTCGCAGGCGATGGCCCACGAGTTTTCCAATTCTCCCGCGGAGTCCCCAGAGGACAAGTTGGGTGCCGCGATGTCTTTCGATCGCGCTGTGGAAACCCGCTCTCCCCCGGCGATTTCCCGGGCCCTGGAGAAGTTCCCCTCCATAGGCGGTGTGCTCGCCGGAGCTTGCGGAGGGCCGCGCCCTGTCCGCCGTTCGCCAGCACGCCAAGGAGCTGGCGCGGGGGCGCGCCATCAGCGAGTCGACCCTCTCCAGGAGGAAGCGCCCAACATGGAGGAGCAGGAGGTCAAGTTCGCGCGCGCCCGGAACTTCTGGCTGCTGGCCCGGCTGTCGCCACGGAGGGGATTGAACGTGCCGGCGATGCGCGGCGACGATGGCGAGATCCACGTCCAGCCGTCCAGCCCGAGGACATCGCTCATGATTTACGCTTGCGTTGGGAGCAGGTGCCCCGGCTTTCGCCGGCGAATCAGGCCCTCCGTCAGCGTTGGCTGGGCGAAGATATTCCGCGTGCTGGGCTCCGCTGCCGCCGGCTTCATCCAGTCTGTGGGCCCCTACGGTTCGGGACGTCCGGCGAAATATTCTGCGTTCGGGTAACTCTGTTCCAGGGCCGGGCGGGATTCCGGCGGCGGCTTGCCGCGCCCGGGCTGGCGGAGGGAGTATTTCACCGAGCACTTCTCTGCTTGGTGCCCCCGGTGGGCAACGAGCCACAGGCGCGCCGCGACCTTGGGTTCAACGCTGCCCTCGCGTTCTTCACCCCGAAGCAGGAGGCTGGCACAGACGCGGTTCATGGCAACTTTTTACGACCAGCAGAACGCGCGGCCGCTCAGCGTGACCAATTTCGACGGGGGGATCCTGTCGCAGGCTGTTCGTTTGCGGGTGGGGCCCCTCGTTGAGAATTGGGTCTCCCGTTCCCAGCGGGGCTTCGTTGGTGGGCGGTCGTCATTGGCAAACGTGCTCGACATCGAGCAGCGGATGATGGAGGTCGCGCTCGAGAGCGAGAAGGGCGCCTCATTCTTCTTCGGCTTTAAGGCCGCGTTCCCTTCGGTCGACCAGGCGTTCATCCTCGATCTGCTGACCCATTTGGAGCTTCCCGACTCGTTCGTTTCGCCGCCAACGCTTACGAGGACAATTTGGTGCACATTGTCGTGGGTGGCAGGCGTTTCCGAAGTTTCTCGGTGACCGCTGGGGTAAGGCAGGGCGACCCGCTGTCGCCGCTGATCTTTGCTATCGCGGCGGACCTGCTGCTTCGTCGCCTGACCGGCGGCTTCCTGGGGGCGCTGTTTCGCGCGTGTGCGGATGATTTGGCATTGGTTTCTGACCGGCCGCTGTCCGACGTCGCCCTGCTCGAGAATATGTTTGACAAGTGCGCCCGGCTCTCGGGCTTGCACCTGCACCTCGGGAAGTCGGCCATCATTCTTTTCCCCCCAGGTGACGTCGAGGACTTCCGTGATCAATTATCTCGGGTATCTGTGGGGTGGGCTGCCATGAATATCAAGACGGACGCGGAATGCCTCGGCTTCGTCCTAGGTCCAATTAGTGGACGGAAGTTGCGGGTCCGCCCCATGGCGGAAATGGTCGACAGTTCTTCTTGGGGGAAGGTCGGAGGAGGCATGCAGGTCCCCTTCCTCGCGGCGCGGGTCTCCATCACCTCCGCGGTGCGTTTCGTGGCGCAGCTCCTGCCGCCGCCGGAGGACTGGGATGTCACCGACATGAAGGTCATGGCCAGGCTGCCCCCCGGCCCAGAGGGTTGGCTCTCGCCCGCCGTACTTCGAGATCCCTCGTGTTTTGGATTGGCCGGTGGATTGGATGACCTGGCTCAGCTCCCCCTGGCGGCGCGGGCCCCCTGCCGATGCGAAGGTGCGAAGGAAGGCTGCCTGAGGATTGACGAGCGTCGTCGCGGACTCCTTCAAGCGATCGCCGATTCCGACATGCTGGCCCGGGTCGGGCGGTGGAGGGGGTGGTTCGACAACGCATTCTGCCTGCGCGTTTGGGCGCCGCATGCCCATTTGGAGTGCCTCGGCTTCCCGGCGCGCGCCGTGCAGGTCCTGATTTTGGCGCGCACGGACACGACGGAGATGACGGCGCAGGAGGTCCAGGATTTGCGCAGGCGGAGGTGGCAGCGTGGGCTTTGCAATATTCTCCGGGAGCCAGTGGTAGAACCTCCACTTCGTCTTATGCGTCGACGCTTAGACCGATGGCTCTCCCGGGACACTGGCCCCAGCGAGTCTTGCGGGTATTTCAAGTGCTAACCGGTAGGGTGCCCCCTCGGGTTTTGGCGGTTCTTCCGAGGGCACTTGTCAATGGTTTGTGCACGGGGCGACCGTTCCAGTGCCCTTCCCATTTCTATGTTCCGACGTGGTGGAGAGGGGTCCATTGAGCATTATGCTCGGTGTGGATGCGTCCGCCAGTTTGCTTCCAGTATGCTGGCCCTCCTGGCCGCCGCCGATCCGGTTGAGGAGTTTTTCCCCATATCCTAAGGATTGGGGTTCTTGTTATTACTCTGACGCCTCCTACTGCTCCTCCTTCCTCCTTCCTCCCGCTCGCGCCTCCCTCATCCCAATGATAATCACCAGATAAGACAAGACAAGATAAGATACTACAACATAAGATAATATAGCAACAGATATGATAATGTAAGATAAGATATATGACAAGGTATGATAATTGATAAGATAAGACATCCTATGGGGTAATAAGATAAGACAAGATATGATGCGATAAGATGAGTTGATATAAGATAAGCTAAGACAAGATAAGAGATTTCAGGATACGATAAGATAGAGGGTAATAAAGGTAAGATAAGGTAGGACTCGATAAGATAAGATGAGACTCGCTCTCACTCAGACTCACTCACAGTCACATTCACTCACACTCACACTCTCTCATGATCACAAAACGCTGCCAGGGGCATCACTTGGGAGCCCCAAGGGGGAGCCACCCTGGCTGATCTCACGAGCCCGTTCGCGCCGATTTTGGTGGGACGTCTCAGCTAAAATTGCCGTTTGGCCTCCCCAACATGTCTCTCTTGAGAGCCTCATGGTCACAAAACGCTGCCAGGGGCATCATTTGGGAGCCCCAAGGGGGAGCCACCCTGGCTGATCTCACGAGCCCGTTCGCGCCGATTTTGGTGGGACGCCTCAGCTAGAATTGCCGTTTGGCCTCCCCAACATGTATCTCTTGAAAGCCTCATGGTCGCAAAACGCTGCCAGGGGCATCATTTGGGAGCCCCAAGGGGGAGCCACCCTGGCTGATCTCACGAGCCCGTTCGCGCCGATTTTGGTGGGACGTCTCAGCTAGAATTGCCGTTTGGCGCCCCCAACATGTATCTCTTGAGAGCCTCATGGTCACAAAACGCTGCCAGGGGCATCATTTGGGAGCCCCAAGGGGGAGCCACCCTGGCTGATCTCACGAGCCCGTTCGCGCCGATTTTGGTGGGACGTCTCAGCTAAAATTGCCGCTTGGCCTCCCCAACATGTCTCTCTTGAGAGCCTCATGGTCGCAAAACGCTGCCAGGGGCATCACTTGGGAGCCCCAGGGGGGGTCCACCAGGGGCTTCATAGTCACCAAACGCTGCCAGGGGCAGCATTTTGGCTTCCCAAAGAGGACTCGACCCGGGCCTCCTAGTCGCCAGGCACTGCCAGGGGCACCATTGGGATTCAGACTCGCACCCAGACTCATACACAAGCTCACTCACACTCAGATTCAATTCTTCAGAGTCAGGC